CCAACATTTTCTTACCTTAATATTTTCATCCTTGTGTTTGTTTTTGGATGTTACTGAGTACTTATTATTGTTCTTTTTTTACCTTAAATAGACAAAGGAAAAATGAATTCTGACTCTCTTCTTGCAAGCTTTACAAGGGTTGATCTCATTAGTCATTTCATGTCTAATTAATGCAAACGATTTTGTTAGGTTTAAATTTATGTCTCCATAAAAATCTTCATGCCCCTGCCCACCGCAACAACAATGAAAGAAGTTAAACCTAATTCTTTCTTTCCTTTCCATCCAAAATGAGACTTTTTGCTTTCTCTTCTTTTTAACTCCTTCCCCTGCACACTATAATGGCTGACAGGTACATTTCCTTCCATTTTTAAAGAAAAAATCATAGCCTTCCTTCCTCTCAAGGGAGAGATTGCTCTCTTTCTTTCCCATCAATAAATGAAAACCAAAGTTGACATTTTGGATGTGGAAATTGGTTGTGAATCATGTCTGTCTTGTTGGGGTGGCCTATAATTATTTGTAAGATTATAATGTTTTTCATAGTCAGGCAAATAAGCATAAAAGCTCAAAGAACAAATGATTAGGAATTCCATAGTGGTTTCTTAGCTAGTAGTATATTGCTTTAAACTGTTAGCTCTTAGCAGCCATGAAATTAAATTAAAGTCTTTATAGTCCACTTTGTGATCAATTTGTTTCTCCTTTTGGGGTCCCCTCCATTCCCAACCTTAGGATTTTGATCATCTTTAATTTTTGCCAACATCCATTATATACTACTATAAGATTATTACTTCAAATTTTCCCCACCATTATTGGAACAGTACTCTTCCTCCTCACTTCTCTTGACTTCATCAGTCTTCTATACAGTACTCTTAGTAAAGAAAAAAGCCTCTTTCCGACTTCCCTTTAATTCTTAAACCATTTTGATTTTTAAATTAAAGTGTGGGGTTGATTTTTTATTTATTTTTTCTTTTTTCTATTTAGTTATTTAATCAATCACAACTGTCACTATCTCCACCATCATGATCATAATAATCTCCTTTTTACTACTACTAAAGTTTGTAGTACAATTGGCCTTTTTTTATTTGAATGTTGATCTTTGTTTATAAACTACCCTTTTAGCAGTGAAACTTTTATGTAGTAAATGATAATTTAACAGATTGCACAAAGTTTGTCCACATATCTATATTATTATCTATATCTTTCATAAATAAGACATATGAATTTGAATTGACACATAAAATGGATCTGACGACTTTCCTTTAGCACGATCTTCGATTCTACTACTGTGAATAGAGAAAAAAGACGTAATCAAATTAGTCAAAATCCAATGTAATTATATTAAAAAGTTCACTCTGAAACAACAAAGATGATGAATTAATTAGCTAAACCAAAATTGCAGTAGTAATTTTTCCTGCACGCGCTAGTGGCACGCGCTAGGATTTTTCTCCTCATGAGCGGTTATCGCTTTTGTCGATTTCTTCCCGAGTTCATCTCAGTTTTCTTGCTTTCTTTAGGTTTTCTTGGCCTCTGATTTCGTTTTTGAACTCAGGATTTTGTGTTTCTGTCATCGTTTTTTGTTTCTGCGTCCATCCCTTGGTAGATCGAGTCTTCTTTTCGCGTCTTTGTTAGAGCTGGATCATTTCTTAGGTCTAGGGTATAGTAGTCGTGCCATTCTTTTAGGATTCTTAGATCTATAGGGTTTTTATGTGTTTTTTTTGTTCTTGTTTCCTTGGTTCCTAGGTCTAGATCCTATGCTTGATTTACATTTACCAAAGCATATGAAATCGGGAAAAAATTGGAGTTTTCTTTAAATAAAATTGTTTTTTAATTCGTTTTCTTTAACTCGTCTTTTCTTAAATTTGTTCTTGGGCTTTGTTTTTTTGCTTTTGTTTGTTTGGAGATATGGAGATTCAGCTGGAGGAAGGAGATGATTGGAGTCTGACGCTTACCCGATTTATGGTTGTTGGGAAGATTATTGCTAATCGGGTGTTGAATCGGCGAGGGGTTGTTAGTATTTTGAGAGGAATTTGGTCGGAAGAGGTGGCGCCATGTATACGAGAGATTAAAGAAAATATGTACAGTATTTCTTTCAAGTCTGAGAAAGAAGTGGAGAAAGTTCTGATGGATGGGCCATGGTCTGTTATGGGTTTCAATATGGTATTAAAGAGATGTATCCAAGGGAGTACTATTGAAGAAATGGAGTTTGAGTTGGTGAACTTCTGGGTACAAATCCACAATTTACCGATGGAAATGATTACTCGAGCCAATGGAGAAATGATTGCAGTTAAGTTGGGGTAAATTATAAGGGTTGAAGATCCGATTTCCAGAGGGGGTTTGGGAAGGGGTTTCTTGAGATTACGAGTTGGTTTAGAGGTTTCTAAACCGTTGGTAGAAGGTTTCTGGGTTCCGAGACAGAATAGAGAAAAGGTTTGGGCAGAAGTGAAATATGAGAGACTTGCAGATTTTTGCTATACGTGTGGAAGAATTGGGCATGTTTCTCGTAAATGTGGAGAAGAATCTGAGGCTATGGATGAGAATGGGAAACCTAGATTTGGTCCTCACATGAGAGCTGCACCTGCTAGAGATGTTAGTTGGAATAGAGGAAATGTTGGAAGTAGTTCGTATAAAATTGGCAGTAGGAGGGAGGCTACTAAGTTTGATCAAGCAGCAGTGGCCAGAGAGTCTCTGAATGCTAGTGAAAATGAGGATAATAAGGAAAATTTGGTGGCAAGAAATGCTAGAAAGGGGAAGGGTGTTGCACATGAGGAAGGGTGTTGTCAATTGAAGCAGAAAAATAATGTTAATAATGTTGTATTGACTCAGTTTGCTGGTGCCAATATGCAACAATGGATGGGACAATCTCAGGTGATGGAAATTCAAAGAAAGGAAGCTTACTGTGGAGGTATTTCTATGCATGCTGTTCTTGATAAGCATGATACAGTTCTTGTTGATAGAAATATACTTGTTGATAAACCAATGCTAGAACATACTGCTACTACACATTCTTTACCTTTCAATATTCCTTTGGATGTTCAGAGTGAGGCTTTTAATTTTGACAATAGACCTCCAGGGAATATGATGTTGGAAGAAGAATTAAACAGTAGTTTTGCTAACCCTGTTGTGTTGTCTCAAACTCTTGCCTTACACAATAATACTGCTGATGTTCCTCCTGAATTCTCTCCACCAAATCAAACTGTTGGCCCTTTGCCCTCTTTAAATACCAACAATAATCTAAACAATTTACCATCCATTTCCATTCATCTTGCCAGCCCTGCTTCAGAACAATCCGTTTTACCTATTGATGAACCTGGTGTTCCTGAACTTCCTTATGATGAGTCTGGTGTTCATGGGTTGCTTTATCATGAACATGGTGTTCCTGAGCTACCATATGTGGAACCAGGTGATCCTGAGTTACCAATTGCTGAATCTGATATTCCAGAGTTATTTTCTAGATTTTATGTGTTTGACAGGAATCTTAATTCCTATGTACCTGTGCAACAATCTGAGTTTAATATTGCTGACATAGGTGTGAATAATGAGGGAAATGTAGTTGGAAGTAGGTTGGATGCTTTTATTCATTCCAGACGGCAGATGAGAATTACCGACAGGGATAATGAAGAGGATCATAGCTCTGGTTTGAGGAGGCTTGAATTAAAAAGAGGTTTGGATGAGGAAGGGGAAGGTTCTACAGCCATGAAAAGAATGAGGGTTTCGACACAGAATGTTTGGAGTACTACTAATGATTCCTTGGGGATAGGTGTTGAGAATATTAGTGGAGGATGTAGTAAGGGGAAGAAGGTTAGCAGGAAAACTTCTGGTGCTAGGAGAGGAAGACCTAGAAGAGTTGTTTGGAGTAGAAAGCAAGTGGAGGAACTGTGTTTATTTGAAGTTCCTGTTCAGGAGTCATCTAAGATTGGGGTTAGAGAAGTTTCTATTAGCATGGATGGTGGTTTTGCTTTTGCTGAAGGTGGTGGTGGTAGGCCTGAAACTACCACCAAGGAGTTATGATAGGTGTTTCGTGGAACTGTCAAGGCCTGGGATCAGCCTTGACAGTTAATATGCTTAAAGAAATCAAATTTAAAAATTATCCTGATTGTGTGTTCTTGATGGAGACTCGGAATAATAGCGTGATGGTTGAAAAAATGAGGAAGAATATGGGTTTTGTTGGGGGCGTGTGCGTGGATCCTGAAGGGTTGAGTGGTGGGTTAGCCTTGAAGATGGTTGGAATGTTAATGTGCTGGAGAAATCAAAACATATTTTAGATACTGAAGTTGTGAATCCTGATGGTAGCAAATACAGGATTAGCTGGATTTATGGTGCTCCTGTTTTTAATGATAGAAAGGTTGTTTGGGATAGATTGAAGAGAAAATCCTTGAGTATTGAGGGGCCTTGGATGTGTGTGGGAGATATGAATGATATTGTGGCTGATTCGGAAAAAGAAGGGGGTCCTCCAAAGGATAGAAGATATATACAGAATTTTAAAACTATGATAGAATTCTGTCAATTGATGGAAGTCCCTACCAATGGTCAGTCCTTCACTTGGTCTGGAGTGAGAGATGGCATGGTGATAAAAGAAAGATTGGACAGGTGTCTTGTAAATTTGGATTGGTTTGAACTGTATCCAAGGTCACAGGTGTGTAATCTTCCTAGCATTGGGTCTGACCATTCTCCTTTGGTTTTCAATTTGGTTGCTAAAGATCAGAAAGGTCAAAAAAAAAATTCAAGTATGAGGCTACCTGGAATGAATCTGAAGATTGCAAACGAATTATTAGAGAAGGGTGGGAGCTTGCTGTGGATGGAAATCCTACCTACAAAGTTGTTTGCAAATTAAAAAGGTGTAGAAGTTTGCTGAAGAATTGGTGTAAAGAAAAAGACAAGCATAAGAAGTCAAAGGAAAATTTGATAAAAGCTATTGCTGATATTAATGATAAAGGAGATTCTCTTGAAGACAGGGACTTGGTGAAAGATTTGGAAAGTCGACTCAGGAATATTTGGCAAGAGGAGGAAACATATTGGCACCAGAGGGCTAGAGTCAATTGGCTCAAATGTGGAGATAGTAATACAAAATACTTCCATCAAACTACTTTGAAGAGGAGACAGTTCAATAAAATTTTAAAACTGAAAAAAGGAGATGAATGGATAGAAAAGGAAGACGAGATTATGGGAGAATTTCTGAGATATTATGAAGGTTTGTTTACAACTCGTGGTGATAGAGATTGGGATAGGGTGTTGCAATGTGTTCCCGAAGTGGTTACCAGGGAAATGAATGAGAGTTTATTGGTCAGTATTACTGATGAGGAAGTGAAGCAAGCTGTGTTTCAAATGGGGGAATTAAAAAGTCTTGGTCCCGATGGTTTTAATGGTCAATTCTTTCAAACACATTGGGAAGTAGTTCAGGAGGATATTTGCAATATGGTGAAGAATTTTTTTAGGAGTGGGAAAATTCTTAAGGAGATTAATTGCACTGAGATTGTTTTAATTCCAAAGGTTAAAAGCCCTGAATCTGTTACTCAATTCAGGCCTATTAGCCTTTGTAATTACATTTACAAAATTATCTCCAAGCTTATGGTGAATAGAATGAAACAGTTTATGGGGAGTCTTGTTACTGAAGAGCAGAGTGCTTTTGTAGAGGGGAGACAAATTCATGACAATGTTCTGGTGGCTCAAGAAGTCTTTCATTACTTAAGGGTGAAAAAAAGAGGTGGTAGCTATGATGTGGCTATTAAAATTGATATGAGTAAGGCGTATGATAGGGTGGAGTGGGATTTTCTTTATGCCCTTCTTTTAAAACTTGGTTTTTTGTAAAAAATGGTGTGATTTGATTTTGGAGTGTGTTAGTACCGTTTCTTATTCTTTGGTTTTGAATGGTAAATCTAGTAATAGGATTCTTCCTTCTAGAGGTCTTAGGCAAGGGGATCCTCTATCCCCTTATCTTTTTCTTTTTGTCATAGATGTCTTGTCTAGGATGATCCATTTAAGTATTGGTTCGAATTTGTTACATGGTGTGAAAATTTCCAGATCTTGCCCTGAGTTATCCCATCTTCTCTTTGCGGATGACTCTTTATTTTTCATGAAGGCTGACCCTGATAATTGTGGCAAGCTCTTTGATATTTTACAGGAATATTCTGCTGCTTCAGGCCAGGAGATCAATTTGGAGAAGTCTAATCTGATCTTTAGTTCCAATACCCCACAGGAGGTTAGAGATGATGTAGTCAGCAGATTACAGATGAAAGAAGCAGCGAACCCTGGTGTCTATTTAGGCTTTCAATCTTCCTGGGGAAAGACAAAGTGTGGTGCTTTGAGCCATATTAAAGATAGAGTTGAGTCTAAGTTGAAAACTTGAAAGCAGCAACTTCTTTCATTGGCAGGAAAATAGGTATTGATTAAAGCTGTTGTAAGCTCTATTCCAACATATACTATGTCTTGTTTTAAATTTCCTAAGAAAGTTTGTACTGAAATTAATTCAATGGTTGCTAAGTTTTGGTGGGGTCAGCATGAGTCAGAAAGGAAGATACATTGGTGCAGCTGGGATGCTATGACATTGCCTAAAACAGAAGGTGGCATGGGTTTTAAGGACTTGGAGGTGTTCAATAGAGCACTCTTGGCTAAGCAAGCATGGAGGGCAATGAATAATTCAAATGCTCTTTGGGTTAAGGTTTTGAAAGGTATTTACTTTCCCAACTCTGATTTTATGAAAGCTAAAAAGGGAGCTAGAGCTTCTTGGTCATGGCATAGTTTATTAGATGGAAGGGATTTTTTGAATGATCATATTCAATGGCAAGTAGGGAATGGAGCTCAAATTCATATTTGGGATGATAAGTGGGTACCTGATATCGGGAGATTGACAGCTTCAGGGAATTTCTCTTCCCAAAAGCCTGACAAAGTGGCAGAAATCATCAATCATAATCAAAGAGTATGGGATATTGAGCCTGTAAAGCAGTGGATTACTAAGGATGAACAAGATGCTATCTGCAGAATTCCTCTTGGAGTTTTTGAAAGAGAAGATAAGAGAGTTTGGCCTCACAATACTTCAGGTCAGTATTCTGTAAAGTCTGGCTATTTCATCTTAAAAAACAACATGTCTAGTTCTCAAAATCCTAATAGGGCATCTAGTTCTCATAATGTTGATCATACTATCTGGAAATTTATTTGGAAGCTTACTTGCCCTAATAAGATTAAGACATTTTTATGGAGATGTTGTCGTAATGCATTACCTACTGCCATGGGTTTATTCAAACGAAACTGTAGAGATTCAGGTCTCTGTTCTATTTGTGGACAAGGGGAAGAAACTATTGAACATATTCTTCTTACCTGTGATTGGACTCGTGGAGTATGGTTATGTGTTTGTGGGTTGATTATTGATATGCAGGGGCTTTCTACTTTTGATAAATGGTTGGATCAGCTTAGGAAAATGTTAACAGATTCTGAGGATGGGGGTAGACAGATGCTAACTAAGATTGCTTTTGTATGCTGGATCATTTGGAAAGTTCGATGTGAGGTAGTAATTGCTGAGGAAAAACTACAACATGTTCAAGTAGTTTATAGGATTCAGAAAGCCATTGGTGATTTTGAGTTAGCCAATTTTATTGCTGATAAGAGGCAAGTGATAAAAAATGATCAGCAGGTTGTACAGAGGTGGAGTAAACCTGAGTTGGGCTGGTTAAAGTATAATTGTGATGGATCATTTTGTAAAGATACAAAGAATTTTGGAAATGGTGTGGTAGTTAGAAATCATAGTGGGCACATTCTTGAGGGTATTGGAATGACAGTTGACGGGTCTAGTGCTTTATGTGCTGAAGCTTTAGCACTTAGAGAAGCTGTTCAGCTCGCAGTAAAGTCTGGTGTGCAGAATGCAGTCTTTGAGATTGATTCGGCAGAGCTTTTTACTAATGTGCAGCAGAGGATTGTGAGTAAGCAAGATTGGCATATCAGTCATATTATTCAAGATATTCAAAGCATGTTGCCCTGTTTGGATAAGTCAATGGTAAGGAAAGTTAGTAGAAGTGCCAATTTGGCGGCGGACTGGTTTGCTAAACAGTCCAGAAGGAAGATGAGCTGTTCTGGATGGCGTCAGTTCCCACCATCTTCCCTTGTTGGAATTTGGAATAAGGATGGGGTTTCTGCACCTCCTTAGTTTTGTTTTTGTCAGCATGAAAGAATAGCTTATGTTTCTTTCATGCCTTTTGTAAAACAATTTTGTTTCCTGTTTTTGCTGATATTAATAAAATTACTTTCTTAGTGCCAAAAAAAAAAAAAAAAACCTAGACTTGTCGAAGTTGCCGACTCTGACATAATTAATTAGCTAAATAAACATGGCCCTAGATTGTGGATTAGTGGGTGATTAGAGTAGTAAAACGTAAGGGGATGAACATGAAATAAAAGTAGTCGTCTTTTTTGAATAAAAACAAGCGGCACCACCAAAGCATAAAGAGTGACCTATTTTTGACTGTTTATTCCTCACTGCTTTTTTAGTACAGAAGAAGAAGATCATCAACTTCTCCCGCCTAATCCACTCCGTATATATATATATATACTTTGAAGAAGCTTTTCTTTTTGTATATATATATATATATATATTTCTCTTTTAAAAAGAAAAGAAAAGGCAAACGTACAAAACATAAAGTAGACGTTACTGGTTTCTGTCAAATAATAAGATATTTGTTACTAAAACAACAAGAAGTCGTGCCCAAGATTCATTTCCGGACCACTTTTCAGTAATAAACCTAATGAGCATATAATATTCTTACACCGTTCGGATTTTGATGTTCCTGCTGGATTCTTGGCAGAATCATACTAGCCTTTTTTTTTTTTACTGATTTCTTTTCTTTTTCTTTTCTAAAACTTGGGTTAATTCAACTTTTTGAAGTGAAAGAGAATAAATTTGAAGGAATCAAGACTTGCTCGCTAGTGTTCATGCAATATATATATAATTATATATATATATACTTTTACATTAAATTTTTTTCCCTCCCCATCAGGGGTGGAACCAGAAATTTTTCTTGGGGGGGCCAACTATATAGTGTATATAACTATATATATAAGCCAATATCTAACTATATATATCCATATATATCAAGTAATGTTAAAATACAAATAGTATATGAGAATATATACTAATATATAATGTAAAAAAAAATTTAATATCATGAATGAACACCAACTTTATTAGGTAGCAATACTATAAATAAAGTAGAAAAAATTTACAATGAATAAATAATTAATCTTTAATTTTTCCAAAAAAAAAAATCTTTAAAATAGACTGAGAGAAATTAAAGAAATTTTTGAATGATGTTAATATGAAAGAGAGCTAACTTATAAATATTACCATGGGACTAATTTGGAAAAGAAAAAATCAAGGAGGGCCAAAGCATAATAATACCATTTTTTTTGTTGATGTAATCAAACTACATTAGGAACTTTTAGCTCCCCATCAAGATTTAAACATTGGATCACTAATCTAATTATTTGTATTTTTCCAAAGTCTCTCAACTTTTTCTTTTTGTTTTTTTGCTTATTTCCTTTCATGAGTTGAGATGAAATTATATCTAATTAGTTTTTAAGGATTAAAAGAATCTTTAATTTGTTACACTTGTTTATTAGTTTATATACGATCAGTTCAAATAAAAGCTGCTGCAATGGGAAAAAAAAGAAAAGAAAAGAAAAGAAAAGAGAGAGATACAGAGAATGAATTTAAAGAAGAAAAAGTTAGGAAAATGAAAGGGGAATTGTCAAAATGCAGGACCGATGGCACTTTGCTTTGCTGCTTTTATAAGGATGGCCAGGCCACCAACATTCATTATATTCAATCTAAATCAAAGCTACGACATCATTCTTATCAATTTAATAATTGAACCCTTAATAAATAGTACTATTATTAGGTGTCTCCAAAAGAAGAAGACGGACCAAAAAAAAAAAAATGGAAAGAAAAAGAACAGGTCATATCTTAATTTCCTAGCTGATTATTTCAGATTCCATATAAAATTGAAGGAAACTTCCAATTCCAATTCCTATTTAATTAATTATTAAGTAAATGTGTATTTGTACTATATATTATACGGATGCCATGTATTGTTCCCAACGTGGATGAATCATGAAGAATGAAGATCTCTCAACTGTCATGTTCTTGTTGGCGTTTTCTTAATTATTTGCCATTATTTCTAGTAAACAATGCAAAATAAACGATTTGAAAACCTCAGTTCCAGAATTTTCACATTAAAATAAATCATTAAATGATGGTATTCGATTTTGTTTTTTATATACTAACACGAGGCTTTAATTTGTCAACATTAGGAAATAAAAATATAATCCCACCAAGCCATATTTTATTACTATTAGACAAAAACTATATATAAATTTATCTACCAATTCTTATTTTTCCTCCCGCTCTTGATTTTATCCACCAATTCTGAATGAAGTTAATTGATAAATGGCTAGTTAAAATGATAAGAGTGGTAGACTTATGGTGAAAAACTTTAATACTGCTAAATTCCAAACTCGATCGATTCCATCTGTAAATTTTATTTTTTTTTCTACTCATGAACATGATATTGAAATGGGTTACTAATATTTTTATTGAAGAGAGAGAGAAAAAAAAAGCACTATGTATAAGATGGCATGCTTGCCCATAACCATAAGTTTACATCATACCATCGCTTTACATCTTCCAAATTGGACCAACATTAATTAACAATCTACTAATAATTACATTACATTACATTACATTATTTAAACATCCATATTTTTCTATAGTTAATTCAATCCGTTCAATCAATTCCACTCTAAGCAATTGCCAATTGGCACGCGATAAGTCATTAAGGCCTTTTGTTTTTTTATGACAATAAAATAATAATTTTATTTATCGTTATCATTGTTCCGAAAGGTAACATGAGAGGTAATAGTAATTTTTTATCAGAAACTTTAATGATCCGATCCTATGTATTGTAGCAAAACATCTCAAATTTAATTTGGAAATTAGAAATAAGCTATGTTCATAATTTTAATCCTCTTATACCAATTAGCGTTACGGCAAGGCAAAGTTTTGAAGTAAGTGACTAGTAGTTATTAACTCATCTTGATAACCCTTATAACAGGGGAAAGAAAGGAAAGTCAGAATTTACTATACAATAAAGTTTTTTTAAACTTTTTTTTTAATACTAAAGGCTAAAGCATAAAAAAATGTTGATTTTTCAAAGATTTTTAATCAGGATGGCACCGTTAGTTACTGTATAAATACTACAAAATGCATTAAATTGAATGTGGGTCATTATTGATTGTAGTATTGGTATTTATTAGTAAGAAGTTTCTACTTTCTACCTTCTACTTGGGTTGGATGGTGTTTGATGTGAGAATTTCTTGTTATGGAAAATTTTCTCACGAGAAAATAAAACACTTTCTCTCGGAGGAAGGAAAAGCCATTAACAACACGTAACATTCATCAATATTACACATTATTGAGAGCTTTTACCAGAAGAAAAAAAGAATTTGTAACATCTGCAGCAATGCTTGCAACTTTGCAGATGTAAACAAAAACAAGATTCGAAATTCAATCCCAGGAAAAAATATGAAGAAAAGGGTTTCTCTGATTCTCTCTTCATTCTTTCTGGGTTCCCTGTTCAAGTAAAAGACAGGAAACTGAAGTGAAAGTGTGACATTTGTTGTTGTTTTTGTTGGTGTTAAAGAAAGAGAGAGTGTGTGTGTGTCAGTAAAGTGAAGCGTAGGCCATGTTTCCCACCATCTTTTGCCTTAAATGAGGAACATCGTTCTTATTAACTCCTTTAACTTCTTCTTCATCTTCCCACACTTTTCAAGATAAATCATAAACCCATAAAGGCCTATACTATACCAAGTTACCAACTCCCTTTTTTATTGTAATTTTTTAATCTGAGTCTTCTTCTTCAATTCATCTCTTTCTTTTGTCTGTATCTTTTTAGTAATTAATTAGGTTGTTTGTTTGGTGGGGGGATTGGTTTCTTTGATTTCGTTTTGATGAAAAATAATGGGAACTGAAGAGAAATCTATGGCTGATCATCGACATGATCATCATGATGCAGGAGGTTCTGCTGCAACCCAAGCAACTGTTACTTCTCCTTCTCAACAGGTTTTTTCTTTTTCTCCAGCTTTCTTAATTCTGTTCCTTGAGCCCTGTTTTGATTTGATTAATTTCCTTGCAAAATTTTGAGACCTTGAAGAGAATTTTCATGGCCACCTCCAAATCCTGTTTATTTACATGTTTCCCTTTCTGAATTTTGAATTTTTGTGATTTTAAAAGAGATGGGGTTCTTGCAACTCAAGATTTTAAACTAAATTAGCTCTTTCTCAGACCGCTCCAGAGTTCAGAGTTTCAGACAACCTTTTATTAGTTATACTAGTACTTAAATGTTTTTGAACGTTTTGTTCTATGCCGGTAGAATTCTGGCTTATGTTTTTGTTTATAATTTTTCTCTATTTTCATGACAAAATAAGTTTACAGCCCTCTAGTTTTTTTTAAAAAAAAAAGTTTACAGCCCTCTACATGAAATTTACAATGAGTAAAAACAACTGCAGAATGCAGTCTTCTCTGCATATTTCTAGTTTCTTGCATAGTGATAAAGTTTCTACTTTATGTTTTTAAGGATGAAGATTCAATAGTAATTACTGAGGAATCGAATCATGCTCAAGCTCAAAATTGGAAGCGAAGAAATCTCTTCCTAGAGATACCCTCCAGAACTAGAAGTATGGAAGAATCATCCTCTCAAGAATCTGTGGCAATAAAAATGCCCCCAACACCTAGTATGACTCCTAGGAAAGTGAATTTTCTGCTGACGCCGAGTCCGTCTGATGCAAGAGCTAATTGTGGATCCCCAGGTCCCTCCTCATCTAAAGGAAAATCAACTTTGAAGAGTCTGATACCAAAACTAAGCTTCAAGCATAGAACTATTAGTGCTGATATTGAAAAGGCGGCGAACCTTGCTCCTGAATCTTCTTCTTCTACTTCAGTGAGATCAGAGAAGCCCTCCATATCAAGGACATTGTCACTTACAAAGATATTTACTCCTAGGATAAATAGGACATCCTCACTACCTGTAACTCATATTCCACACTCAAATTCGGAGTCTTCGATCCCTGGAATCCTATGTGGCTCTATGAATTCTAGTG